CACCATGCAGTTTCACAAATGGTGATTCTTCTCAAATCAATGCTTCAATGAAAGTCGGGAAAAGCCCATTTCCACATGTTGCAAAAGTCTGTGTTTGAGCCATCAGCTTGCGCTGTGAATGACACATGGGGAAAACTTCTCAGCTTTGCTCAATTCGTTTATTTCTCTTTGAATGATTCATTCCCAACAAAATTCTTGCCCAATGCCTCTTTCTTCACAGTCATAAAGATGATGCTGGAATTTACTGAACTAGTTGTTATTCCCCTGAAGACTCTAAAGCCACCTTCCAAGTTCTTTCATTCCAACACTTGGGTGGTAACAACTTAAAAAGAAATCTATCACGTTGGACAAATGGGTTCATCAATCTCAGCCTTGGTCTTTCCTGTCCAATTTGTGACTGGATTACTGGAGCTCTTCAGGATGAGGCTCAGAAGGGATTTATTCATCTAAGAAACATTCACTTCTTTCACACACAGACCGGTAACGGAGTCTCAGGAACCAGACCTGACATCAGTGTTTAGTTATGCAGCTGGAGACAACTTCCAAGACAGTTTTGCACATTGACTTCTGTGTTCTCACTCATGGAGGGGCTGTGCCCACAAGCGGGGTAGAAAGAGTTCCTCCCATGATGATGGGGTGGCAAGAAGTACGTTCTCTGCCAATCATTGTCGTTCTTGGTGCCATCAAGTTAGTTCCAATCCAAGTGACCCTGCGTGCAAGAGAATTGACCCTGCCCAGTCCTGCGCCATTCTCCCCTGTGTTATATCGGAGCCCGTATTGCAGCCGCTGTGCCAATCCATCACCGTACCCATCTCCCAAATGATCTGTCATCCTCAGTGTACCTAAGCAGGGTATTCTCTTCTCTTCCTCCTTCCCAGATGCTCCTGGGAACCACTAACACCCTTGGGTCTCTATGCATTTGCCTGTTGTAGCTCATTCAGACAAGTGGCACCAGGCAGTATTTGTCATTTTGTGACTGGCTCTTTTTCACCCAGCTTCATGTTTTTCAAGTTCATCCATGAGACAAAATAGATCCGAACTTAATTTCTCTTTATGGCTGAGTAGGATTCCCTGGTGTGTCTGTGCCATCTTGTGTTTATCCACACTTCTGTTGATAGACAGTTAGGCTGTCTTCACCATTTGGCTATTGTGAACAGTGCTGCAATGTTTCCCGTGAGTGTACCACATCTCTTTGTGTTCCTGCTTTCAGTTCATTGGGGTATATACCTGTGCATGGGACAGGATGCTAATTCAATATTGAGGTTTTTGAGGAACTGGTAAACTCTTTGCCACAGTGGCCATACCATTTTACAATTCCATCCATCCTACACCCTTGCTATCAACTGTGGTTTGCCACTGTTGTTGATAAGTTCCAGTGGGTCAATTGCAAATCATATGACACAGTAGAACTGTCGTAGAGTTTTTTAACTTATAATCTTTATAGGAGAAGCTCTTTCTGGCAAGGAGCTCCTGGTGGGTTTGAACCAGGAACCATTTCATTAGCAGCTAAGCCATTAGCCATTGATCACCAGGGATTTGTTTCCTATTGGTTCAGCCTTTTTTTACCCAGCAGTCATGGGCCCTTTACCTTTTCTCCAGGATGGTTTTAAGCCATTGTTGTGTTTGAGGTGCCACTGAGCTGGCTCCACCCCATAGAGGAACCACTGCCCAGTCCTGCGCCACCCTCACAATTGTTACGGCGCCCTAACCCATTGTTGTAGCCACAGTGTCAATCCATCCCCTCGAGGGCCTGCCTTTTTTTCGGTGCCCCTATGCTTTCCCAAGCGCGATGTTCTTCTCTAGGGACCGATTGCTCCTGACCACATATCCCAAGCCTGTAAGAGGAAGTCTCGCCATCCTTGCCTCTGAAGTAGCCCTCTGGCTGTACTTCTTCCAAGACAGATTTGCTTGTCCTTTGGCAGTCCGTGGCACTTTCAATATTCTGCATCAGCACCACAATTCAAACGCATCGATCCTTCTTCAGTCTTCTTGATTTAATGCCCAACGTCCGCAGGCATATGAGGTGATTGAAAATACCATGGCTTGGGTCGTATGAGTGGTTGGGCCAAAAGGGATTGTTTGCCTAAGCAGCTGGAGCTGAGTTCACCACAGCCCTTCTCTTTCTGCTTCCCCTTCTTCACCCCTGTGACCCACTGAGCTCCTGGCTGTCTTGAAGCTCAATGGTGCTTTCCCCTGGCATGGTGGTATCTGTCGTCGGCTCTGAGACCTTGCTTTTCTGCTGTGCATCTAACCTGCTTATGCACAGGCTACCCTGTACCATCAGTAAGTGTGTTCGTTTCCGAAGATGAGAAGTCTGTCCAGAACCACCCACCCGATGAATCATGGAGCTGAGCCTTAAACTGAGTCTTCCCTTCCTCAAAACCCGTGCCCTTAACAACTGTCCAGTGACTTCCTTCCTGTGGGTTTTTAGCTCATTCCATCTCCTCTTCTGCCATGTTCTCCTGGCACATTGACTCCTTGTGTAGTATGTTATCAATACATGTTTCTTGAATGTGCTGAACATAAGGACTAGGAAGTTGCCCTGGCATGGCTGATGGAATGGGAATGGAGGTGCCATGTGTACCCCATGACACTGTCAGAGGAGTTGACACCAAAATGACCACAGAGTCCTTGACAGTGGACTAGTATTTCCAAGGAAGAGGCCATGATGTCACCCATCCCCCAGGGTCATAACTCTTCACTACCTCTCTCAATCAAAGGGTGTGTTAGTCCAAATTGACTAGAGAAA